TTTTTTTTTGACAGTTTACGAAAATATACAATGATTAAAAGTTGTTAGTTACACAATTCCTAGATTGTGGACATTATATCCTCATGCAAAATTATGGAGTCACAAACTGATCCTTTTAGATTTAGATCATAACATTTTATAACCATCACTTACATGTGTGCATGCATGAAGGGGCTTCAAAAGTTGCAAAAAAAATCCATTATATTTTAATCCTATTTTTTAAATGAACTTTTTCAAGCTCTCTGATATATACCCACATACATACAATTCCATGAAAACTCTGGTGGACTTTTATATGAATATGGGCTGAGGGCACATCGAGCAGACATAAATAAAAAGCCCCATCACTCACAATTAGTTACAAATGGAAGGGAGTACAGAAGTAAAATGCTAGAAATAATTCCGTGTGAATTCTATACTTAAGCATCATAGCACCTCAACACACTAAGCTTATGCTGGCAAGGGAAGGGATGTTGAGACACTAATATGGTTAATACATTTAGTTTATATGAGCTAAACTTCATCCTTGATGAGCAATTGAATGAGGATGTGAATTCTTCTAAATCAGATCACCCAGGCTTTGGATTTTCTTAGACAAGCTAAGAGAGAGAGCTAAGGGCTGATCCTCAGGTTCATAAGCAGATGAAGAACTAAATTATATTCATCTGGGACGCACGCGTGCGTGCATGCATGCGTGCGTGTAAAGAGAAAAAGATGTGATGACGTTGGACTTACAGGCAATATGGACACTTTGGGGAAGTTGTGGAGTGTCTCCCATTCCCGCTTGAGGTACTCAATGGAGCCCACAAACACGATGTGCTTGAGCTCATGGTAATGGAAGTTACTGGCCCGGAGCGGCATCACGAGGTTCCGGAGTCCGATCAGTGCTGAATTGACATCGCCAAAGATGCAGACCACGACATGGCCACTCAGGACAGTCATGGCCGCTTCGCTTCGGGTCTGCAACGAGAACAAGTGGACCATGACCGGCAAATAGACCTCACAGGATTAGTTACAAGGAACGTAGCAATAATTGATGCATATCATCTAATGCAGAGTTTCTGAATGTTCACTCTATACATATGCATTATGCTTAATGAATACGCTCACACGCACACACATATCCAGACTTGATCATATGGTTAGGCGTTCAGCTTCTAGCCAAAAGGTTTCCTGCTCGCACCCACCCCGCAGCCCTGCAGGAGGAAGGTCTGCTTTCATCAGAAAACAGTAGGGGGAAGGAAGCTCCACTCTGCCAAATGTTGTCAGTAGGATTCAAAAATCACACAGACTACACCTAACAACAATGACCGGGAGACACCGAAATAAAAGAGCATTGCCTATTTTGGAGGGTTTTTAAAGCACCTGCAGAACGTGAGCTCTGACTGCTTATATGCAGACTCAAGTGGCTTCTCCACATGACTTTGGGGAGTGGACTGGTCCTTGTTGCCATGAAATTGTGGATGAAATGAGCTCTTTTCTGCCTCTTCTGCTGAGATAAAGATGCCCAACGTTTTATATTGGCCTCAGCTAAAAAACTGAATGATAAGTTCTCGGCTCATCATTGAGATGTTCCAGGGTTCTTTTCTGCCTTCTAGCCTGGAGTGGATATGCACATCCATTCATCAATGACCCAGTGGGAAGAGAATGATGGCCTAAGCGAGAAGTGACAGCTATGGCCCATGGGTGATACCTGGTCTACTTGTTGTTACATACTCCATGAGTTAAGAATAGTTATTTCATTTTAAATTTTTGGAGAAAGTCAAAAGAAGACTATTTCATAGTGTGGAAATTATATAATATATAAAATTCAAATTCCAGGAAAGCCTTATTGGAACCCAGCCAAACTCATTCATTTTTTATTGTTGTTAGGTGCAGTTGAGTTGACTCTAGCTCACAGTGACCCCATGTACAACAAAATGAAACACTGCCCAGTTCTGTGCCATTCTCACAATTGTTCTTATATTTGAGCCCATGTTTGCACCACTGACTCAATGCGTCTTGTCAAGGGCCTTCCTCGTTTTCTCGCTCCTCTACTGTAATAAGCATGCTGTCCTTCTTCAGGGACTGGCCTCTCCGGATACTATGTCCAAAGTATGTGAGGCCACGTCTTGCCATCCTTGAGTCTAAGGAGCATTCTGGCTGTACTTCTTCCAAGACAGATTTGTTTGTCCTTTTGGCTGTTCATGGTACTGTCACTATGCGTCACCAGCATTGGTATTGAAATGCATCAATTCTTCTTTTGTCTTCATTATTCAGTGTCTGACTTTAACATGAGTATGGAGTGAGTGAAAATGCCATGGGTTGGGTCAGGCACACCTCAGTTCTCAAAGTAACATGCTTGCTTTTCAACACCTTAAAGAGGTTTCCTGCAGCAGACGTGCCCAGTGCAATGCGTTGTTTTATCCCCAAGAGCATTGTTTGTTGATCGAAGTACAATGTAATCTTTGACCATTTATATCTTCTCTCCATTCGTCATGATGTTACCTCTTGGTCCAGCTGTAAGGATTTTGGTTTTCCTTACATTAAGTTCTAACCCACACTGAAGACTGCAATCCTTGATTTTCATCAACAGTGAGTCAAGTCCTCCTCGCTTTCAGCAAGCAAGAGCTCATTCACTTAGCTATTGTCTGGCATTGCTTGGGCAGTGCAGTGGCAGAGTTGAGCAGTTACAACAGGAATGGCAAGGCTAGCAAAGCCTAATATTTTCCCTGACTCTACACAGAATAAATTTGCTGATCCCTTTCCCAAGGCGGGGCTGCCTTGCGGGCCACCAGGGATTTCCGGGAGGGACTTAGCTTAGGTAAGGAAATTTAAGGAACCAAGCGCCATCGAATGAATTCTGACTCATAGGGACCCTGCAAGATAGAGTAAAACTTCTCCCTATGGTTTCCAAGACTCTAAATATTTACCGAAGTAAATATTTTTCATCTTTCTCTGCGTTTAAATTGCTGACCTTGTAGTTAGTAACTCAGCATTGTAGTTAGTAACTCAACCAACGTAGTTAGTAACCTACTACGCCACCAGGGTTCCTTCATTCAAAGGAAGCTGCCCAAGTAATCATTAAAAGGGCCAATCAGTCACCTCATGCACAGCCATTGCTTTCTGTCAGTGGATATGTGTGTGTTTTTATGATGCAGCACAATTTTCATCAGAATTGCCAGGCTAAGACACAGTAGGAAGAAAGGCCTGACGACCTACTTCCCAAACATCAGTGAATGAAACCCTATCACTGTAACAGGCAGAATCCCAACCAATTAAGGGGATGGGGCAGGACTGGGGAGTGTTCGGACCATTGCTTGGATTTGCCATGAACCATGATGACGCGATGACTACAGCTAACAAAGGGGATAGGTAGGAAAGGACCAAAAAACCTTCTTTCTGTCCTGGGCTTGTATCTCCAAGAGACACAAGAAGAGAATGAAATAACACCAGGGCGAGGCAGATCCCAATTCCTCAGGAAATGAAAGGGGTCACCGTTCTTGGTCGAGTTGCTCGCTGTGTTAATGAAGAGCACGGAATGCGGAGGCGAACCTGGGTCTTTCTCTGCCTCTCCTGGAGTCCAGCACCTTTTCTCCGCCTCTCCTTCCTCCTATCCGTGGGAGAGCCCCGTTGGGCTTACAAGGTTTTGGTGGAGGCATATTAATGCCTACGGCACATAGCAAATTTTTTTGGATTTAATCCCAAGAATTGACTAGTGTATTGATTTTTCAAATGCCAATGTCAACAATTCACAACAATTACAGTGACCCCCAAGGAGAAGAGGAAGATAGCTTTCACTCCAATCATTAGACTAACGCAGAAGCTGCCATTATTATTGGTTTCCCTTGGCAACAGCGCAGGGAAACCCAAGATACACTCTTCAGTAGTTGCTTTGTAATGTTGATCAAGTGAGGATCCACTGGGGAGCTGATATCATGTCCTACCTCTTCACGGAGAAGGCCCAGTCAGTTGTCTTGGCTGCCTGAAAGTGTGAGTGTCTAGGTACCACCAGCAAAGAGTCACACTGTGATAGGTCTCCTAATTATTTTTCATTGTTTAAGGCAGCTACTCATTTGTTTACCTGTCAGTCTTCTCTTTGCTCCTTATAGAATACAAGCTCCATGAGCACAATTGTTTGCCATTCCCACTTGCATAACTAGGAACTAAAACAGTGCCTAGCATATCTCACTTACTCAAGCCAGGGCTATATTGTATCGGGTGAATGAATGCTGACTCATCGCAACCCCATAAGACAGAATAGAACTGACCCTGTGAATTTCTGAAGCTATACATCTTTAAGGGAGAAGCCTCATCTTTCTCCTGTGGAGTGTTTGGTGTTTTCGAACTGCTGACCTCTCAGTGAGTAGCCCAATATGTAACTCACTACACCACCAGGGTTGCATGCCTAGCACACAGTAAAAAAAAAAAAAATACTACAACAAAAAACACCCACTGTCATCAAGTTGATTCCCACTCATTGTGATCCTCTAGGCTAGAGCAGAACTGCTCCTTAGAGTTCCTGAGCCTGCAAAACTACACAAGAATAGACAGACTAGATTTTCTTCTAAGGAGCGGCTGGCAGATTTGAACTGCTGACTTGGTGGTGAATGGCTCACTAAGGAGTCGCTATCAGGGCTCCTTAGTACATAGTATGCACATATAAATGTTTGAAGAGTGTTGGTTTTCACAGGAGAAAAGCAGTAACTCACCTGTATAAGCTCTTCCATAGCACTAGGGGGATAGTAATTGGGTAACTTTATTAGCAAACACTCTTCAGGAATACCTAGGCATGCTATCGAAACCCTGGGTCCCTGACGTAGCTCCCAGCCTAAAACCTGCTGCAAGTGCTGATGCCAGGCTGACTTTAGATCACCAGACCAAAGTGCACCGGATACCATATCAGAATATAGGCACATAAAGCAGCTTGTGGTTGGAACCATTTCAGTCCTGATAAATCAGACAAAGGCTGGTTTGGACTTTCTGCATTTTAGCTGAAGCTGTTATGCCCAAGACAGAACCCGCAACATCTCTGTATTGGCTCTTATACCTAATTTGGGAAAACACCCAGACAGTTAAATAAAATCAGGGGATATGTAGAAAATTAGAATCAGGCATTCTGAGGATTTCCTTTAAGGAAAGGTGGCCATGTCATCGGAAATAATAGAATATTTTGAGCTAACAGAAGGAAACAAACCAAAACTCACTGCCATCAAAACACTTCTGCCTCATGGTGACCCGATAGGACAGGGTGGAACTGCCCCGGGACTTCTCAGGACTATGATTGTTTATGGGAGTAGAAAGCCTTGTCTTTCTCACTCAGAGAGGCTGGTGGTTTTGAAGGGCTGACCTCACAATTCACAGCCTAATATGTAACTACAAGGAAGAATGAGTACTTCCACTTGACTTTCCCAATTATTAATCCATTTTTCAAGGATGAGCAAGACAACATGGTTTACGAAAATCAGTACAGGCCTTAAATCCTAAAGATTTTAATATGATAAGACCAAATAGTAGACTGGGATTGTTATTCTTACATTTCAGCACAGACCAGAAGTCTACTGCTTCTACTGGGATGCTCAAGAGCCATCCAAGAAGTAGGACACTGAACCTGAGGTGGACCCATGATTCATCACTGCCATCGTCGGCAGATGCATTTTGCTAAAGAGGCTAAGATGACGGCTAATAAGTGTCACCGATTTGCAAAGCTTGCCATCAACTTGTGCATTGTGTTGAATGTAAGAATACACAGCATTGTTTATGAACACAAAATATGCAGCAGCAGTCATATTGTTATAGAATTCTATAATAAGGGACAACTTTACTGAATTGTATTTCATGGTCTTTTATCTCATAATTTTCACTATCACATCCTATGAAGGAGCCATGGTGGTGCTGTGTGTTAGCAGCATCGGGCCGCTAAATACAAGTACGGCAGTTCAACTCCCCGCCTCCCCCCAGATGCTCTGTTGGAGAAAGAGGAAGATGTTTGCTCCCATAAGGATTTATCATGAGAATGAACTCAATGGCAGTTTTCAGGGGTGTGTGTGTCTGTGTCTGTGTTTATTACTCTATGAGTTCAGGACTATTCTCATTTCATATATGAACAGATAATAAAACCAAAGGGCAAAGAGGTCCAGCAACTCGGCCACTGCCAGGGCTAGTCCACAGGAACCAAGACAAATACCATCTCCATTGATTCCTTCCATATCGCATGTCATTAACCACTATTGTGAGAAGTGAGTAAATAGCCAGAAATCCAAACTTCTACCCTTGCCTCATGTCCTGATCAGAGTTTCATAAACTTGTAGTTTCTTCAATCTGTGCTCCTACTTTAAATATCTACAAAACAATCCAGGTCAGGGTCTGTGTCATCCCACTGTTCAGGTAGGAAAACTAGAATCCAGGCATATGGAGGTTGGGACCAAAGTGCAAGGCACCTGGTCCATAGTCTGTCACTCACCAAAATGACTTTCTCGATCTCCTTGGGCACACACCAGTGGAACATCCCAGTAGAGTCGTATTTCTTCACATTGGAGTCAATGTTGTCAATCTGATCATTGCCAGGAATTAACAGAGGATCATGCCTGCAGAGGAAAGGACAGGAAAACCTAAGTGAACAATGCGATCGATTGTAAAGGGAAAGTGTCCCCAGCGTTACATCTGAGGAGATGAAAGATGAAAGCGAAGTGCTTGTCACTGGAGGCTATTCCTTTGGTTTCCAAAACCATCCTTTAAAGGACAACTGCCCCAAACCATCACCACCCAGTGGGAAGTGCAGCTGACCTTTGTCAGGTGATAATTCTGCCTTTCGCCTGTTCCTCTTTTCCTAAACTGATCTTCACGCCGTTTTTTTTAACTTAGCCATCTTTTATGGATATCCAATTTCCCTCCTCTCACTTTATCAGTTGTCCAGGTACGTATATGCACACGCACACACAGAGCTATTGTTAGCACTGGCAATAAAGGAGGAGGACCAGGGATGGCGCCTCGTGCTGGCTGACGGACATAAGGATGGAAAGTCAATTGCTTGCTCTTTCTGACACAACTTCTGACGTGATGCTCTTCAGAGTAAAAGCTGGAGCAGGCTGCACTTTAAATATTTTAGCAATTTGCCCAATCAGCTTTTACCCTCCTAAGCTGAAGTCCTTTAAAGATTCAGTAGCCTGTCACTTCAGAGCAGATGGACTACCAAATGCCCACATCTGGAACACATGATTTCAATATTAAAACAGCACCCCTCTTTTCTCGCCTTGACAACTGTATTTATATTCACTGTCCAGTGATGGCCTCTCACCCCCTGCACTTTAGCCCCCCAACTATCGGACTCCTCGGATATGACAGCTGCAAGCTTAGAAGCAGTCTAATAGGCTTGTATGAAATTCTCACTCTTTAGGACTATATTCACTTACTCTTGCCTTGTTTATTGATAAAACAGGAGGGTGCTTCTACAGAGGGCCTGAGAGCTCTCTCCGGTGTGTTGGCTGGCCACCCTCCAGAATTACAACCAAATCAAGTGGGTTGCACCCGCTTGGGTCATGCTCATTGTTAGGAATCCTCTGTTAGTGACTTCGCACCTCAGTTTTGGGAAAGGTGGGTCACTGTCCCAAGCATAGCAATTATTCTTACAGTAGAGCTTCCCCAAACAATTATTCTTACAATAGAGCTCCCTGCCAAACCCAGATTTACAATATCAACAGGTTCAAACTCTAAAAAAATATATTTTAATGTATTGTACCATTTAAATGATCTGTTGTATAAGCATTAAAAGATGACCTCTGTCTAGTTGTTAGTATTTCTCCCTCTGAAACATCTCTATTCTGACACTTTACAGTCTCATCCCATGTCTCAGAACACAGAGAATGGGGTGGCAAGCCCTCTCACAAGGTCTAACTAGAATAGCCTTCTAGTTTATCTACCAGTAGGGAGCCCTGCTCGTGGCGTGGGTTACAAGCGGGACTGCTAGACACAGGTAGTAGTCGGACACTTCCAGCTGTTCTGATGGAGAAAGCAGAGGCTTTCTGCTCCCGTCCAGACGCACAGCCTTGGAAACCCACGGGGGCAGAGCCACCCTGCCCACTAGGGGCAGTAGGCATCAGAACTGACTCAATGACAATTTGTTTTGTTTGGAGATGTATTTGTGCTTCTCCATATGCCCCACCCTCACCTAGATAGAAAAATTCTCTCATCCCAGAGAATTTGCTACAAAAAAGGACAAGTATCATGTAAGGCAATCCTGCAAGGCTATCTGTAATGAACATGCAAAAATATCTCAATGAATAGCCTCTGATTGCTGGGTTGCTGAGAGAACCTAAGCTATTGTAAAGGCCTGGACCACCTATCAAAAACAAATCAGGTCAAATATGTTAAATTACAAAAGTATTTTATGATAAGACATGGTTACAAAACCAGGCAAACTTTTTTTTTTAATTGTCCCTCCTATCTGTAATTAGTGTCACGGAGAGAGACACATGGTCAAGGACAAAAGCATGCACACAGACGAGGTTTGAGAAACTGAACCTGATGAACTCTTCCTAGCTCAGCAGAACAGGTTTAGTTGAGAGAGGGTCTTCATGTCTGGCTCACATTCCCTTGCTCCATTGGTTGGAAAGTGAGTGCTACTCAGTTTAAATTCTGAATGGATTGGGGATGGTTTCAGAGACCCGAGACCATCTGCAATGTATTCAAAATGTAAAAGTTACCCCATTAATTGGCACATCATCTCAGAAAGCGAGAAAAGGACATAAGGATCAGACCAACATTCCTTTTGGGGGAAAAAAAAAGCTTCGGAAGAGCTACGTTTTGCTTCCTTAGCTTTCTGGAAAGAATGGTCACTTGGTAGTAGCATCCTCATGCCCTCCCCTAAAACAGGTACATAAGCAAGGTTTTTGGATCAATCACCCATGCATGAGAGGAAAAGTGACAACCAATGTCAAGCTACATTAACTAGAGACGTGAATAAGAAGCATCAAGTATAATTTGACATGAGGTCTACAAGTCGTGATTTGTACTGGAACATCCAGAAGCATCCGGGGATTCTCAATGTGCAACATGCTATATGCTGGCCTCTCCAAATGTCTTTTGGAGTTGCATTATTTAATATAAATAATCCAAGATTTTGTCCAAAGAGCCTGATTTGAGGACTGTCCATGACTTCCCTGAACGCAGAGATTTTCTTTTCTGAGCAGCCATTGTATCCCAAATTCTCACTTCGGTTTCTTAAATTAGTCACATAACAATAAAGGATAACTCCCCTATTCCAAGCCAGGAATGGAATATAACAATCAGTAGGACAATTATAACTAACTATTATTGATAGTTAAGACACAATCACTTATCAAAGAGAGAACATAGGAGAGACAAGAAAGGCCAACCAATCGTTCTGAGGTGGTGTGGTAAACGTCCCAGTAAATAATGTACGAAGTGGCATGAGAAGGCTCAGAAAGCAGCTGCCCCACTCCTGGGCTTTGGGGAGCGTCACGGAGGGTTTCCCAGAGAGAGTCAGTGGCAATACCTTCCCATTTCAGTGGTCACCCACTACAAGGAAGCCCCCATGGAAAGGGTCACGGAGTGAAACTCAAAACCACGTTGAAAATGTCATGACTAGCACTCATCTAACCTAAGGGATGAAAGACTGGGGCCAAACATATCATCATTCCTTAGATGTGGGATGGTTGCCGAATAGAGGAAAGATGCGACCAATTGGGTGTGACCCAAATGAGGAACGATGTGTGCGGTTGCAGTGGAACAAAGTCTAGTCTGCGTGGTTGCAGCTCTGTGGTCAGCACTTGCCTGTATCACTTAGAAGATGCCTGGATGTGGGGAAGGCACCGGGGCAAGCTAATCAGCACTTGGGTTTTCATAGCTGTGCAAAAATGTTACAAAAGTATTTACCACCTTGCACTGCAGTGGCAGAAATCTAATTGCCTCAATAGTGATTTTTCTCTATTAAACAAAGATATATATGTACTGGGGGAAAAGTGACAGATATATGTTTTTTCAGAAATAAAAGGCTGGTTTTTAAGGCAGTGGATTTCCCATAACTTTAAACATTTCTGAGGAGCTAGGGGCACAGAGGGGATTTAATAAGAAATTAACCAAACCAAACCACTGCCAGATGTTCATAACAAACCCAAACCAAATAAGTTTCCATCCAGTTGACTCCAACTCACGGCAGCCTCATGTGTCAGAGTAGGACCGCGGCCTGCAGGGTGTCAATGGCTGATCTGGGAGTAGGTGAGCAGGCCCTTATACCCAGCTATCCCTGGGTGAATTTAAGCTTCCAACCTTCGGTGAGCCCCTGAGCACTTACGAGTTCACACCAACCAGGGACTCCAAATTAAATGTCTATAAAATATTCAAAATATTGGGTGAGCTTAAAATTTCTTTAAGGTTTGAAACAGTATAAGGGTGCTTCAAAAAGTTCTTGGAAGAATGGAACGAACAGATAATGGAGCTAACAGATAATGGAGCTTTTTGAAGCCTTCTGGTATGTTCTCATTTGGCAAATGGTGGCTGGCATCATCTGAGAAATGTTAGACCACAGTTGGGCATTGGAAAGCTAGAGGGCACCGAGTGGGAGGAGACATGGGGAAGCAACGCGCTGAAGCCCCAGGACTTTGCGTCCCCTTAAGGCCTGGCACTGTTCGACAGCGGCGTGCCCCAGCCTGGGAGGCAGTCTGGTCAGTCCAACAGCAGGGGAGAGGGTCCCTGCTGGAGGAAGGGTCTTTACTAAGAGCATTTCCTTCACGTTGTTTACTGCAATAGAAACTTCAGGTGTCTTAGTTTGCTTCGGAGTCCCTTTGTAGTTCGACCAGTTAACACGCGTGGCTGCTAACTGAAGGCTGGAGTTTCCAGTTCTCTGGAAAACTGGCCTGGCAGTCGACTTAAAACCAAACCCACGCACGGAAAACCCGCTGGAGCAAATGCTATTCTGACATAGACGGGAGGGACTTAATGGGAGCTTTATGCTGATGAGTGACTGTTGTTCCCAGCAGCTCCAACTTCTACATAGAGGTCTTTGGAGTGCCTGTGAATAGAACAAAGTCTAATATCTGTCAGGGAAAACCCCAGCGGACTCTGCTGTCACTGGGAAGGCCCAGGAGAAACGGGTAGTTTATGGTACACGGAACAGTGCATCATCGACACCCTCCCTGAACGAAATCTGCCAACATTATTATTTGTAGGATGATGAACAGAACCACTTCCCGAGGCTTTCAGACAACTCCGCACAAACTACTTAGTTGGAGTTAAGGACCAATATTAGATATTGCCTTTCATATCTTAGTAACTGTATGCATTTCCTAGAATCACAGAGTAATAACCCCCCATTCCCTAAAATGCACCATCATCAATTCTGCACTCATTTGCCACTAACTACTTAGCCATTGTGCTTGCTTTACTTTGGAGGGTTTGCAGATAGGGAATGCTATTTGCCATCAGTTAATCTCAGGAAACATTTTCAATGCCAGGCTCCTACAGAAACCCAAAGCTTGCCCAGAAGGGAATAGTCTAGGGCAGGGGTCAGAAAACTTTTGAGACGGAAGGATCGATCCTGTCCCTCACAACAATTTACAAATTACTTGTG